TATATAAAATATAGAATCACAGAGTTGTGGCAGGTAGCCTAGTTATTCTACCTGTCCAGGAGTTCTTCTCATTTTTTTTTTTTTTTAGATTATTTATTTATTTTGAGAGACAGAGAGAAAGAGAGAGCACGTGTGCTTGCAAGCCAGCAAGAGACAGTGAAAGAGGGAGAGGGAATCCCAAGCAGGCTCTGCACTGTCGGTTCAAAGCCCGATGTGGGGTTCGATTCCATGCACTGTAAGATCATGACCTGAGCTGAGATCAAGAATTGGACGCTTAACCCACTGAGCCACCAAGGCAACTCTGTTCTCATTCTTAATCGCATCTTGATTTGCATTCTAGGAGTTGTCCTTTCCCCATTGTGTATAGTCTTGGTGGGAAGTAGCTTCTGCTTTCTATTACAGAGTCATGGGGAAGAGATAACCCCTCTCCACAGCCCTGTGCGTGCAGTGGGTGTAATGTGATCTAAGCCAGGCCAATGAGATACGCTCTCCCTGGACCTGAGTAAATGATGCAAAGATATGAGTCATGGCCAGAGGTTATTCTTTCCCACTGTAGGGCTGACAAGTTACCTAAATTCCTGCTGTATGCCATTCCATCTGTGAGTCCCAGATGTGATCCAAGTAAACTCTCTTGCTTAAAATAGCCACAGTACATTTTGGTAGCTTATAGTCAAAAACTGAATTTTATAGAGCTCTTGGGAAATTCTATCTTAGGAAAGATATAAAAAGGTAAGTGGCCATCTGGAAAATGAGGTTCAGAAACACTAACCCTGTGCATGTACATCCATCACTCTCCCAGGAAGACTAACAATGGATTTGGAGCACACAGTGGTTTTATCAATAGAGGGACATTCAGACATCCACACGTATGGACTAGGGTCCCTGTCTTGGGTAAGGGAAGTCACACTCAACAGGGAAAAGAAAAGTTGATTCTCAAAGAACAAAAGAAAACTTTTAAAAATGTTAGGGTGCCTGGTCGGCTCAGTTTGTTAAGCATCCAACTCTTGATTTCAGCTCAGGTCACGATCTCGTGGTTCATGGGTTCGAACCTCACAATGGACTCTGTACTGATGGTGTAGAGCCTGCTTAGGGTTCTGTGTCTCTTTCTCTCACTGTCCCTTTCTGACCCATGCTTGTTTTCTCTCTCTCTCTCTCTCTCTCTCTCTCTCTCAAAATAAAGGAATAAACTTTTAACAAAATGCTAAGCAAAGTGTACAGAGTATGATAAAGCATTTTTGAGTTACTAAAACCTAGCTTTTTGTTAATGAAATTCAAACTGGTATATATGACCAATAGAATTGAGAAGAATACATATAAAAGCCGAGTTGAAGTTGTGTTTGTTTGTTTGTTTTACCCTAAAAGTGCTTTAAAAAATCAGGGCTGAGTCAGGAAAAGAAAAGCATGCAAAAGAGCAGTAAAAACACAGGTTGGGTAGCTTTGTGCAGAGGCACCTCATGCCATCTTCTCCATATTGTCCCACTTCCAACAGAGATTTAGTAAGATTACAGGGCAGATGATATGTTCCCAGGCTCTGAGGGAGCCTAAGGAGGTGCGAAACCTTGTGACCCTGACACCAGAGGCAGTTGTAGCGGAAGGAGTAGACAGCACTACAGTGTCTACGCAGAAGAGCTGGGTGTGCCTCCTCCAAGTTTTTATGGTAACGGAGAGAATCAGAAAATTTTTCCAGTCCTTTGAAAGGTACGGAAGTGTCCCAGAGAAGGTGAACTTCTCTTAGGACCTAAAAGGATGCAGTATGCATGGACCTATGCCTGCAACAACACATGGGAACTTGACTTCTTCACAGATGCCACTGGAGATAGAGATGAAATACATTTTAGTGACATCAGTCAAATATCTGACAGAGGCCTTCCATGTTTACCTGCTCAGAATCCATCACTTTCTTATTCTGCTAGAAGCACATTACTTTTCCTTTGTGAAAGCCCTCATCTCCATTCTCTCTCTGAGACTGACCTCAGCCGCTGGTCCCAGAGGTGGGCAAGTCACTCAGGCACAGCAGATCGGGGTCAAAGTGATTGGTTCCCAAACGAGTTCATAACAATCCAGAACAATGAGTTATCTTGAAGTATTTTCACTACAGTTACTGAAAAGCAGGTGTTGGTAGGGAGATGCCAATGGGCATCTTTCTGTGTTAAAGTAAAAACACTGCCTAAGAGAGGAACCCAAGGAGAGAAAGAAAGAGATGGAAAAACAGTCTCCTGAAGTCATTATTGAAGGTCTGGATGATCCAGTTCTGCCTGGATCAGATTTATCCCTTGAATATATTTTGATTGTAGGCAATATATTTTCCTATTGTTTAAGTGAAATTTATTCACTTGAAATGAAAAGAGCCATAATAGGAATAAATTCTCTTTACAATTAAAAATCAAATTGCAAGTCCTTAGCATGACCTGCCAGGTCATGTATCATCAGCTACTTGCCTGACTCTCCAACTTCTTACTGTGCTCTTAGCCTTTTCTAACCAAACTCCATGCATACTAGGTTATCCTCTCCATGCTTCTGGCTCTCCCCTCTGTGCTTCACATGGCTCACTCCTCATCCTTCAGGTTCTGACTCGAATATTAAAGAAAGCTTCTCTGACCAAACCTGTCCCCCATCTCCCCACCTCAAACCTCATTTCAGCATCCTTTTTTTTAATGAAAATTATCCATATCTGAAATAAACTTGTCTATTTAGTTATTTACTTACTTTCTTATTGTCCCCCTCCGCCAAATAGAATGTGAATTCCATGAGGACAGGTATCTGATCAATCTTATGCAACCCATAGTGCCTGACCTTTGGTAGGCATCTAATAAATACTGCTGGAACATATCAGTAAATTTCATTTTTTATATTCAGCAATTACATAGTGCTTGTTACAATACCAGGCACTGTCCTAGAGATTTTATAATTATTTATTTTTTAAAATTTTCATAACAATTCCATAAGGTTGGAATTAGTATTATCTCCATTTGGCCGATGATGAAGCTAAGCTACATGATGGGTGAGCCATATGCTCAAGTGGGAGAGCTAAGTAAGGCTCATGCATGGCACCTGGTTCTTGATTCATTTCTCTTGTCCTCTGTGCCATGCTTTCCGAATGACTTTTTGAATGATTTGATAAACAAGTTGGCTACTAAGAACTGATCTATCTCTAGGTGAGCTGAGAATGCCAAGATATGAATTTAAAAAGTAAGTATTGACCATGGAATCTGTGACTCAGGCCAGATATTAGCCATAAGAGATCCAGCCTCACTCCTTTAATTGTTACAGCACCATGCATGCTCGGGAATTGTTAATTTGCAGTGGTGAGTTATGAGTGCTTATAAAATATTTTACATGTATTTAATATTGTCATATAACTTTGGTTGGTTGAAAAGATACCAATTAGTTCATTCATGGAGAAAGATGGCAAAGGCTCTCAATGAAGAAAGACCTTCAAGGCATATTTTTACCATTCCTTATGAAACAGCATGATATTTAATAAAGGTTGATTAGCTATTTTATAGTTACTGCTATTGAACTTTTGCAGTGTACTTCAAATCCTACTCCCTAATAATTTTACAATCTTTATGATCTGACACTACTAATCATCAGGAAATATGATTAATAATAATAGAAAAGATGTTTCTCATTTAACCTTCAAAGCCATTTTTATGTTACCCAACATTAAAAAGCTGTGGGTATATTCATTTCTTTCCATTGAGAACATTAGTCTTCCCTTGTTACAGACAACTTTTTTTTTGTCCTTCTTTGGGTAAAACTTAATCCTGCTGAAATGAGTTGCAGCTGTTGTACAAATTCATATTTTTATACTGATAGGAAGCAGTCAGACATTTCAACTATTCAGTTTTGTTTAAAAGTAAGTTAACAGTTCAGTTCCCTCTTTAGAAGACACAGATGAAGGAATTGTACAGGAATGTGTTTGTGGCCAACTGAATGTTTGTGATTAAAAATACTTATGAAGGCAACATGGCCGGACTGGAAAAAACGTTATAAGGTTCTACAGCCTGGGAGAAATTCATTGAGGGAGAATCCACTAATGCTTCAAGTGGTAGCTTTTGACCTCTGGCACTGGTAAATACCAGCCAGTGGTGCACAGGCTTCCCTTCTAAATGACTAACTCTTACATAATTTCCTTTCCTTAACAGTTCCATGAAGTCTCCAATTTTTAGAATTACAGAATCTCACATAACAAGATAAACTCTGATACCAGGCTTCCCTAAACACCGACCATTTATTTTCTTCTCATGTCTCCATTCCTGACTCAGAACCATATTGATTTCCTTTTTGGGGAAATTAGAAAGTATTAGGAAAATTAGTACTTCACACACTTTCTCTATCTCAGATTTCCCACTAGCAATCCACATCTTACCTAATCTTATTAAATAGTGGTTAAAAGCAAGAGCCGGAGGTTAAACTGATTGGAATTAGAATCCAACCAATGAAAGTCTGTTAGAGAGCAGTCTTGCCACTGAAAAGCTGTCTAACCCAGGGTGAGTTAGAAAAGTCTTCTAAACCTCAGTTTATTCATATATTCAAAAGGGATAATATTGCCTCCTTCCAAGAATTTAGGGGCCTTAAAGAAAATAATCTATATTTAATGCAGTATCTAATAATGCATCAGTTGAAAAAACCAATAGTTACAGGAAATATTAAAAGCTTAACTTACAAACACATATTCAGCTTCACCTCCCAAGTTAGTAAGAGTCAGAACTAATTCAAATTAAGGAAAAACCCAGTGTTTTAAATAGTAATTCAAAACAATATTGGGGTGGCTCATAGAACCCCAGGACTGGGTCTCAGGAAGAATTAGAAGATGAACTTTCTAGCTAGTAAGAATCTCTCTGTCCCCCTTCTATTAACATTGTGAGTCTCCACTTGATCCTTCTCTCTTCCTCTCTAGTTGATTCCCCTTATCTTGGCCATGTGGTGGAAGCTATGACCATTAACATCTCACAAGGGTCATAAGGTCAGCCATTCAAGAAGGGAAAATTACTTACCTCTTTACATTCCATATCCAAATCGCTGAGGGAAAGCTCTGCTAGTCCAGTTTGGCTCATGAGCCCACAGCTGGTCCAGTAACTGAAGACAAGTTGCTCCTTGCTATAATCCTGTTGATGGAAGGGATTAGTTGTGGGAAGGAACAATTTAGTTTCTAGGAAAGGGGTTTCACAGGTGGACATGAAAATCACCAGCCTTCTCCAACTCTGTCCTGATATCTGCTCATGTTGGGATAAGTATCTTTGGGAGGGAGAGCTCCCTTCTCCCTGAGTCATTCTTGGTCATCCTGGCTGCCATTGTTGTTGATACCACTAAATTCCAGGCATGGAGCCCTTCTGCTGTATTATTTTAGCAGCACAACAACTGCCACTGATACAACCTATAGGTTCTCAAAAGTGCTTATCTGATCCATGTACCTTTATCTCTCTTCACCCTAATGAATTATAAAATTTTGCCACTTAGAAGTAAATTTAGAAAACAGAAAGTGCAAGCATGCTTATGCACGCGCGCGCACACACACACACACACACACACACACATTTTAAAAATGAGAAAACTGAAGCCAAGATAGATCAAGTCCTTAGCTAATATCACATAGAAAATTAACAAATCAGGATCAGAAGCCAGGTGTCTAGACTTATAGACTAATCCTCTTCCTAAACTAAGTTGATTATTTCTTATTCACCATCAGCACTCATGATCCAGTCCTTTCTCTACAGGATACAGTTGTGACTGGGTCAAGAGCATTGTTCTTCAATAAGGGTAGTTGCCTTTACCAGCCCACCCTGATTATGACTTGGCTGATCGTATCTGACTTCAGCAAAAGCAGCTGCTGCACATGGCTGTGAATTTCACTTCCTTTTAGCTTAGGGACAACAATCTTACCTGAAGGAGATTTAAATTATAGATTGATAGATTGTAATCAATTATCTTTATAATTCATTTTTCCTTCATAAGTTCCTTATTATTAGTGCATAATATTAAGAAGGTAAATATCCCATTAATGACACTTTTAAAAGATATTTACAGGTGAAGAAAGCAAAAAATATATACAATAATGAAGAGTTTGATGACATTTTGAGATTTATTATGACTATGCCTGTGCCTTTGAAGTAATTTTCAATTTTTGCCCATTTCTAGACAGAAAGAGATCAATGAATGTTTCCTAAAGAAAAGAAAAAAGAACACTTGTAGAGAGGGCCTAAAGGCCTTTCTTTCATCTACTTTTTGGTGATTCTTCAAATACACCTAAATATTATGTATTTGAAAAAAAGTAAGGATAATTCTATAATGACTGTCCAATGCCAGATATATTTATGTCATGATGCACTGAGCTTCATGATTACTTATTTATACTTTATATATACTACTTCCTATTGACATAGTACCTGTATATCTTTCCTCTTCTCATATATAGTTCATATTTACTGTTTTTGAATTATCAGACTAATACTCTAATTTTTTAAACCCCTCTTTTCTACTGCAGTCCATGAGGTTCTATAGAAGATGTCTCTACCCTTGGATCCAGGGGTGGCATGTAACCAAGATATAGCCAGCATAGAGCACTTAAGTTGCCTGGTCATGGTGATAGGCTCAAGAATAAGCATGTGTCCCAATCACAGCCAATCAAACTCAATTTTAAGACATTTGTTGGAATCCTTGGATAGAATGTGGAAAAGATCAATTGTAAGTTACAGCTAGTGGCAACTGCCAAGAAGAGAGTCTTTCTGAGACTTGAGCCAATGCAGAAGAATGCCAAAGGGAAACAAGAATAGAATAAGATGGAGTTCAGTTGATATTGATTGAGCCTCTAGCTCTAGCCATGCATGAAATTTGTTTGTTTTTTTAACTTAAGACAGTTTTAATTATTTTTATCTGTCACAGCCGGAAGAATACTAGCCAATTCTATGTAAAAACTTCTTTTACAAAGCTCCATCTCATAAAAGCACTCTTTAGTGGGGCGCCTGGGTGGCTCAGTTGGTTAAGCATCCGACTTTGGCTCAGGTCATGATCTCCCTGTTCGTGGGTTCGAGCCCCACGTCGAGCTCTATGCTGACAGCTAGCTCAGAGCCTGGAGCCGGTTTCAGATTCTGTATCTCCCTCTCTCTCTGACACCCCCCCCCCCCATGTTCTGTCCCTCTCTGTCTCAAAAATAAATAAATTATTTTTAAAAAGCACTCATTAGTGTATCTATCACAATTTTAGAAAAATAGAATTTATTGGAAAGGGTACTTGGAAACAGTGCAAGATTCCAAAATGGAGGATGTTTTCCAAAATGAAAAGACTTACAATTAAATTTAATGGGTTGATACCAGAACTTGAATTTTTAAAAAGTAAACTATAGTAATCAAGATAGGAGATAAGCACACCTTATCTGGTGGAGAGAAAGAAATGAGCAATGTAGATGCTGAAGAAAAGCACATCAGTACTTAGAAATAATAATATTTAATCATGAAAGTAAAGTTCACTGTTCTATCTTTGCTGAGTTTCCTTTGATTTAGCAACAAGACAGCTAGTTTGAGGACTCTGGGAACTGGATGATAGGTAGATAAGTCATTTCCATGCTATGTGTGAAGGGAAGGTGTTTTACTGAAAGATGAGGAATTAGTTGCATCGTGGCTGATTAGATTAGAACACAAAGCCCAGGCTGGAATGGCAAGAGTTCATGGAAATTGTGCAGAGAACTGAATATAACATGCCATGTGGAATCTTAAAAGGTAGAGGAGGTAACTTGGACAAGGGTATGTCTTTTCTGTTTTACCTATATATGAAGCCAAGGAAGATTAACTAAAGATAACGTTCTAGCCCACAGCCTATGTTTTGAAGAGGCTACCCACATTATCACATAAATTAAGAGAAAAAATTGGAATTCTTGAGTTCTACTTTAATGTGAATTTAGCCATCATATAAGTCATCTTTCTTCATAATCCCCTACTAGTTTGTTTGTTCTCCAAAAATAATGTGGCACTTATGGCAACATAGATGGAACTTAAAGGCATTATGCTAAGTGAAATGAGTCAGAGAAAGACAAATACTGTGCAATCTCACTTATATGTAGAATCTAGAAGCAAGTAAACATATATAATGTGCTAGATTAACATCTTCAGATATGTGTTCAATACAAAATGTGATACTAAACAAAACATTGCTGTTGTTTTCTTCTTATAAGATACCACATGATGACAATAATTAACAATAACTATATTGTATACTTAAAATTTGCTAAAAGGATAGAACTTACATGTTCTCACCATAGAAGAAAAGAAGAAAAAGGTAATTGTGTGAGGTAATAGATATACTAATTAGCTTGAGTGTAGTGTTAATTTCGCAATACATACATATATCGAAACATCAAGTGGGTATCTGGGTGGCTCAGTTGGTTAAGCATCCAACTTCTGCTGAGATCATCATCTCACGGTCTGTGGGTTCAAGCCCTGTGTGGGGCTCTGTGCTGACAGCTTAGAGCCTGGAATGTGCTTTGGATTCTGTGTCTCCCTCTCTCTCTGCCCCTTCCACACTCATGCTCTGTTTCTCCTTCAAAAATAAACATTAGGGGTGCCTGGGTGGCTCAGTCGGTTAAGTGTCCGACTTCGGCTCAGGTCATGATCTCATGGTTCGTGGGTTCGAGCCCGTGTCGGGCTTTGTACTGACAGCTAGCTCAGAGCCTGGAGCCTGCTTTAGATTCTGTGTCTCCCTCTCTCTCTGACCCTCCCCCATTCATGCTCTGTTTCTCTCTGTCTCAATAATAAATAAACATCAAAAAAAATTAAAAAATAAAACAAAAATGAACATTAAAGCAAATTTTTTTAAACATTAAGTTGTATACTTTAAGTGTATACAATGCCTATTTGTCAATTATATCTCAATAAAGTTTAAAAAAATACCATCTTTTTAAACAACTAACTTCATGGATATTAACCTAATGGGAAAAATCCTCCTTTAAAAATTTAGCACTGATATTAGTTTATCAATATCTAATGATTTATAGTGTATGGCACTGTCAAAGTTTTAATATGCTGGTGTCTGTTAAAAAACATTTCTACACTAATACAACACATAAGCATAATTTAATTTGCTAAACATATGTAAATGTTAGTATTCTTTCATATATAGAATGCAAGAATCTATTATTTGAATTTTTAAATTTTTTAAAGTAATCTCTGCTCGCATCATGGGGCCTAAACTCACCACCCTAATATCAAGAGTTGCATGCTCCGCTGACTCCGCCATCCAGGAATTTCAAGAATCTATCATTTGAAATAAAGAATAAACATGGCATAATACTTAATTTTGCAGGAATAACTCAGAAAACAGATCATTATTTATATGTGTATCTTGAATTAATATTTTACTTCTTACAAGCAGGGCATTATATCAGCAGAATATCATGCATAATGTACAATTAAGGAAATAATTACAAAAGTTACATTAATAAAATAATTCTTATAGGATTTGCAAAGATGCTTTATTTACTTCATGAAGCCATGAGACAATTGTTGTTAACTAATCTCTTTACTTACAAAGTCTAAAGATACATTAGATTCCTAATAGATTTCAGGGATAAACTCTTGTAAATTTGGACTTTTACAAGAGCACATCAACCCAAAAAAAGAAATGTCACAGGACAACTGATGGATATATTATATACTATTTTAATACTGACTTCTAAGTACAAAAGTACATTTATATGATATTTACGCTTAAAACCCATCTCTTTTCAAACTGCTGTACCTAAGAACCAAATTCAAAGACCAAAAAAAAAAGCCTATTTGCCTTTCTCTTCACTTCTGAGGGCAATCTAAGTTCTATTTTTCCTCTAAAATGAGAGGGGAATTTAGAGAGACACAAATACCCAGAATGAAATTAGAAAATACAATCTAGTCTTGATTGTCTAACAGTCTGGAAATGCTTAAGAAATTTTTATGGGATAATTCTTGGGATTTGTTGGAAATAAAACCTGTTACTGATATGGGAACAGTTAGATTGTATTTGCCAAACTTTTCATCTCTATTTGACTTCCTATTAGGATTCTCCACCATGCACTTCCGGGAGCCTCCTTTTAAAAAATCCCCCTAAGTCTCATTTTATCCATAAGGCGCTCTCTGACCATTCCTACCCCATAATGGCCCCAACTATTTTTAGAAGATAGTCATAAAATGAGGAACAAAGTATAAATGACCAGAAGTGTTAACCACCATCTGTAAGACTAAAAATATGTTGCTACTTGATGTTGTAAGGGTCATAGCTTTTCTGTGACCTGTAGTTTTTATGCAGACTCCACAGTTTATCTCAGTCTATTTTGATCACTCGGGCCATATTATCTTCTCATAGAGGAGCATTTTTTCCCTTTTATACTCCTAAAATTTATTT